CAATGAATTGTGTATTTTTAAATTTTAAATTACGATATTGTGTTTTTAATAACTTATTAACTACATTTAACTATTTTCATTATAATTATTATAATGAAAATTATGTTATCGGTTTATCAATATTATCACATTTTGATAACTGCAAAAAAGGGGCTAAATGTAGGCAATATTATATACGGACACAAAAAATTTTTTCCTGCGAAGATCCATTCGTTAAAGTACAACTGCCCCCTACTCATAAATAGTATTCTTTCTGATAAGAGGGTTAAGAAAATTCAGCATATTTAGTTGCCTATACTCGACTAATAGGGACTAGGGAGTACAACAATAAATATTATATTATTTTTAGTTGTAACTATTATACAGGTATGAATGTAAGATTCAAGATTCTAGAAAAATAAATAATATTAATAATTACTCAAAAAATATAAATAAAATTCAAAATGTGTTTTGTTAACATAATGACACGTAATAAACATGTGTGTGTTAATATACACTTTTAAATAATATTACACCTAATAATGACGCGTTTTAGATTTTAAACATAAGTTTACGAGTTTACCTATGCTTTATGTGGCCGTAGGTTCTCAGTTCGCCAGTACATATTATTATAGTTACGACCTACTATTGTTGCTATTAAGATATTTTCGTTGGGGGTCTCTACGCTCCCAGAGTATTTCGATTTATTTATCGTTTTATTCCTAATTATGGTGTGAATTCTTTCAAAGGAAGACAATTTAAGGTTGGGCAAGCTAATGAAGATAATTTACTGTGACAAACTGACAAGTTAAGTCAAGTTAATTAAATAAAATAAATTTTTCGATTACTTTCTCCAATATCATATACAGTTATTTTTATTCATTCTCGTCTTGTACCTTCCTTGAAAAAGTATTTAATTTATTTATCATTTACATATATTTTCCAACAGATATTTTAATTACCAAGGAACGGATTTTAATTAAAATAAATATTTGTATGTCGGAATGTGTTTGATATATGTATACGTTTTATCTAATTCCGAATAATCTGATGCTTATTTTATTATTAATATAATTATAATTATATAATATTTTTAAATATTTTTAAAAATAAATACACAAATTGTGTATTATTGAATAATTTTCGTGTTTATTTGAAATACCTAGGTACTTAACAAATAAATTTACTTATTCTGTGACAAATTTCTTATTTTTAGTTGATGATGCTATTTCAAAATTAGAAACTTCTAAGATGCCTTTTACCGAGAGCCTAGAAATAGTTGATAATGCCGTAAGCAATTGGAACTTTTTGGTATTCCTGGAGAAATTTGAGTCTTAACTAATGTAAAATTACAAAATATGTTGGAAAAAAACCTAAGATATAACGCTGTAATGTCGATAATAAACAATTAAACAAGACTCCAAAAAACAATTTAGAAAAACACTACTCTTGATTACATGAATAATTAACGTGTATGAGATATGCACCTATTACGGACGTTGATATAGAGAAGTCATTCAACCGTTATGAAGTGATGTTAAAATCGAATCGCTGTCATTTTAAGTTTGACAATTTCAAGTTATATGTCGCTTCTAACTGTTAGCCTCTCAAAAACAATTTAGATGATTCAAAAAAATGAAAAATTTAGAAGAAAAATGTACTATTTTGTATTTCGTATTATTTGTAATAATTTAAATCTTACTTTCAATTTAAATTTTAAATATTTAAATATTATACATTTATAAATAAATATGTATTAAGTAATAAACAAATGTATATTTAAATTTTAAATATTTTAAATTTTTTACTAAATTAAAATTCGTTCCCTATTAATTACAAATACAAATACATCCAAAAAGCATTTTAAAGCAGGAGCTTCATATTTTTCATCTTTTCTCACTAGTCACTTGTATTAGTTTCTTTATTCTTAGGTCTGGGATTCAGTTTAAATAAAAAAAAAAGTAAAATTAAAACTTATAAAAAACATTTATACGATTTTCATCTCAACATTAAAAGTTTTTTTATTGCCTATATTGCTTACATATACTCATTACTTATAACTTATTAGTCATTCATTTAATCTATTGTCATTACTCACTTTTTTCTAAACAGAATCTTACTTAGTGAATTTAATTTTTTCGTGAGTTGAATTTTAAAAAGTATTTTGTATTGAGAAATGTTAATTACAAAATATCAAAACAAGTAGGTATACTAAATGTATTTATGTATTCTTATTTATTTGAAACGTATGTAGCACGATAAAATCATTTAAATATTTAATAAGTAACAACTAACAAGTAAAAGGTATTTTTGATAATTTATTACACTTTTTGTAGTAATTACAATAGTCATATTAATATAATTGAATAGTTCTGTTATATTTGTATTTTTATATGATTCTATTGTGCCGTCTATGGTAATTGGCAATTACTAAGATACGGTATTTTTAGAAATCACCAATTACCCATCGGCATTTTCGGTAAATACGATTGTTACCTACCACAGAACAGAACCTATTAAAATATTACCATGTTTTTACCAATCCATAGTCCATAAATCTAACCACCAAAGACCAAATCAAGGCATATTTAGTATTTAATTTACTCATGGTATTTACTAGAAAGCCTTAATTTATTATTATCTCTAGACTCTAGTACTTCTAAATAGTCCAAAAATAAATGATAAAATATACACCCTGAAATTTGCATAGACAATAAAATTCTATTATCTATGGTAACTTGCATCAAACATTGGCCCAAGTTGGATTTAAATCTTAGATATATTTGTATGTGATCTAAGATTTAAATCCACCTTGAATCACTGATAATACAATCTGTCGACAGTGGCTTGTTGTGAATTGTGATTAGCATTGATATTGATGCTCGTGTTTATCAATGGTGATTGGTGAGTAGTGAACTATAGTAAAGAACTGTATAAAAAAAGACGAATAAAGTTATTGAAGCAAAATATTACAATTCACCATTACACAACAATAATTTCGAAGTTCCAAATGTACACAATAGAATATACATATAATAATTTAGAAATGTGAAACGGATCGCGTACTAAGACGCTTTTTGACATTTACCTACCAACAACTACAATAAGCGGAAAATTTGTTTTGAGAAACGTTAATATAACGTTATGCATTGATTTCAAAAATAATAACAATTATTATTCAATATTCCGCATTTTTTCAAGGTAGCTTAGTGGCTTGTAACCTTAGATCATAACATCATTATACTATGCGAGCTTGTAACAGTCGTGGGTAACAAGACTTGTTCCTACTCCGTTCCTATACATAATATTTTTATCTACTTACCCCACCTTTAAATCAACAATCAGAGTAATATGTCAAAGTTTTGTTTTATGTTGTAATTTTACTTGCGTGTTGTTTGCTTTCATAAAGAAACCGACTCGTGACCTACTCACTTGCAATGGCTGCACATAGAAAGGTAATGTTGATCACCTCACGTACTGTTTACTTATTTAAATAAACTATTATCATACTACTTTTTGAATAATTTTCGTATTGGTAGGTACTTTGAGGTGTCCAAAAAATATAGTTATAACTGTGAAATACTTATAGGTAGTCTTATTGTTAATTTTATGTAATTTTACATTCATTAAATTCATTATTAAATAATATTAATTTTAGTATTCAAGTACAGGTATTATCTAGGAACGTACCTACTATTTTTGATATGATCAATATTTGAATATTTGTTATTTATAATTATCAAGCTGCTAATGAAATAGGAATATAAGTATTAAGTTTAAACAAATAGTTTGTTCTTAAAATTTTGGTAATAAAAATTCTACAGTCATAAATTATGTATTAACAGAAGTAGTGGTGAGGCGAACACAGAAATGTCCAATGGAAAATCTGGGCACCCTAACGACTTTCCAAGTGTATGTCACCAATCAGAAGCTATAACTTAGGTCTACAAATGTATATAGGTTAATATGTTTGTAAATTTTAGTATAGTAAATACATTTGAATTTCTCAAACTCTTCTCGTTTTGAATGTATTATAACATCTTGTGTTCTTATGATTTCTAACTAATGATAAAATATTATTCTTGACTACATGAAAAATGTACTCATCCAATGTTTGTATATGTTTTTAGGAAAAACAGGAAAAGGTTTATGTAAAGAAAATCCGTCCATCAAAAAAACCAAAAACTTCCAATCCTTGTAACTGTTTTTCGTTTGTAATTTCAGTTCTTCGATTTATTTATGACTTTATGGTGTCATTTATATTTAACTGTGTTTACAAAAATTCACCTTCAAAAAAATTGCCTCCTGTGGAGGATCTATTGGTTCTCGACAGTTGTACAACTATTGTCAATAAAATTAAAAATAAAGAAGTTTCATGTCGCCATGTTGTAGAATGTTTTATCAAACGAATTGAACAAGTGAACCCGATATTAAATGCTGTGGTTGACACACGATTTGACAAAGCATTAGTTGAAGCTGATGAATATGATAAACTTATTGAACTAGCTGATACAGAAGAAAAAATTAATTTAATTTTTGATGGCAAACCTTTATTTGGCATTCCATTTACATCTAAAGAAAGTACAGCAGCTAAAGGAATGGCTTGGACTTTAGGTCTAGTATCTAGAACTGGCATAAAAAGCAATGACGATGCAGAGGTTGTCAAATCATTAAAGACTGCTGGTGCAATACTCTTAGGTGTTACAAATGTCCCAGAAATAAACCTTTGGTGTGAAACTAGAAATAATGTTTATGGGCAAACAAATAACCCTTACAACACAAATCATTCAGCCGGTGGTTCTTCTGGTGGGGAAGTATGTTTAAAATAATAAAATATTACCCAAAATATAATCGTTAACAAGAAGTATTTTTTTTTTATCATAGGCTAGTATAGTGTCAGCATGTGGCAGTCCCTTGGGTCTTGGAACGGATATTGGAGGATCTGCTCGTATACCCGCATTTAATTGTGGTTTATTTGGGCATAAGTTGACTACAGGTAAGGAAAATATTAAATTTTTACTATTAGATTAAAATTTGTTTTATATAATTTATATTGTCAACTAACGTACATATTAGTATTATTAATTATAGCGTTAATTATAATGTATTGTTTTTATAGAACAGAAAACAATAAATTACTATAAATTAATCATTCCAACATTATTGCACGGTCTTTTGGTACAATCTATATTTTACTAGCTACAAATAATATGGTCTTCAGTCATACCTATCAATAATAGATGGACTTACCTAGCTCTTTCTGTTAAATTTACTTAGTTATTTAATTAATTGTCTTACCTTCTACATGCACCGTATGTTGTATGTATTCTACCCATCTTGTTTTCTTGTTTTCTTGTTTTTTAAAACTATTTTCTATTGAATTATATTTAAACTATAATAATTGTCCTAATTCATATTGTATTGTGTTACCTGAATTGTTAATGAATTCATGACTAGCATGTAAACATTTTATTTTGCATCAACATAATTTTGCATGCAATATGTAAAACACAATATTTTATTTTATTTTGTTGACATCCGCCAATCAATACTGTTTTTTGTTCATAATCATTTTTACCATTTTTTAGGTTTTATAAATACAAAAGGTATGACATTTAGAAAAGGCACGGAAAAACAAACCATGGTCAGTGCAGGACCTATTACTAAATATGCTGAAGATCTAACTCCAGTAATTAAAGCTTTTCTTGGACCTGAAAAATCTTTGGAATTGAAAATCGGCCAAGAAGTAAGAATGTATTATTTATATATTATAAAAACAATTCTAAAATGAATACCTAATTAAATTTAGTAAATTATTTTGTTTATTGTTTTAGGTTGATTTGTCTAGTTTGAAATATTACTATGTTGATAAGCCCAATGATGCACGAGTCAGTCCCATTAGCGATGAATTACAAATAGTTTTAGATCATGTTATTGAGTCTATAACTTCCATCACTGAACTGCCTCCCCTTAAAGTCAAATTTTCAGGTACTCGTTATTGCTATAGCTTGTGGAGACACGCTATGACAAAGGAAGAATCAGATTTTCGTGCAACATTGGGAAACAATCAAGTAATTAATTTAAAACTACTTAAACTACCTAAAAGTTATGCTATAAATTTTTCTATAATTACAGACTAGAGTTTCTGTATGGTCAGAAGTCCCAAAAACAATTGTAGGACGTTCAAATCATTCTTTGGCTGCAGTATTAAAATTAATAGATTTACAACTACCAAAAGTAAATGCAGTTTGGGCTGATGCTGAAATTGAAAAACTTTCAAATGAAATATCGGTAAATAAATGTTTGTTTTATATCTCTTAAATATAAGGCTGAGGTTTATTAATTTGCTAAGGTAATATTTGCTGGGGGAGCCCAACTTTGCTGGTAATGCCTTACTAGGAAATCTTTCCTGTACCTCTCAACTTATATAAAAAAAAAGATAAAATTGTTGCAGTTTTATCAAATCATTCTGATCTTTAGATCTCTATATTTAGAATTATTAGGCCAGAGTAAAGCGGTGTTTACAACTCTTTGTGTTTTGTTGTGTGATGTACTGTATAATATTCAATATGTAGGTAATATGTTACTTTCATGTTGAATATATATTTCGTCTCCACCACAACATAATGAGTTGTAAGTGCAGCAGCTTTAGAATAAGGTTCTATAATTTAAAACTCTTTATAAATAAAAAATTAAACCATAAACCTATAAAGAAAAATGTAGAACAGTAGTCTCGCTAATCCGGACTAGATGGAACCGGACTCTATCCAGATTATCAAAAGATTAAACAGAATGACGTTTTTTTTTAAAACTTACTAATAAATATAAACAAAAACACCTTATTTATTTATACAAATTCAAAATGTATTGATTTACAATTTTACATTACACATTATTATTATTATTATTATTATGATATATGTATTACATATGTACATATATCAATACAAATTTAAAGAAAATAAGACCAAACTCACTTGAAATAATAATACAAACACAATACATATGTAATTGAAACGATAATATCTTAGTCATGAGTATCCCCGAGTATATACATTATGCATGAGTACTAAAGTATGGAATATTCAAATATAGATTGTCCAGATTATCCGGATGTCCGAATTAGTGATGACCTGATTAGCGAGACTCTATTGTATGTTTGTGAATTAAACTTATTCAAAATAGTTTTTGGATGTTCCATGTTCTTCCATTAAATGAAGGAAAATTGAGAACTGTACCATACATTTGCAGTGTGGGCAGTTTATCGCACCAGGGACCCATGTATGAATTTGTTAATGATATATTAAGCTACATTAATAATATTTTTATTCATACTAATTAAAGGTTAATTTTTTTTTAATTTATGAGCCGTGGTTAGAATAATAAGGCCCAAAGTTTGAGCTTGTACCATTGCTTAATTACCTTAAACTACAAACTGATTGAGATTTGCTTCAATATTTTAATTATTGAGTTTAATTTTATGTATTATATTATGTTAGAAGAGCATTTACTATTAGTATGTTAATCAAAGTAATATTCACGTTTTAGACATTGTTGGGTGATGATAGTGTGTTATTTTTTCCTTCGTCTCCAACCACAGCTAAACGTCATTTTGAGCCATTCTTGCATCCATACAATTTCGCTTACTGGGCTATTTTCAACGTGCTGAAGCTACCAGTTACCCAAGTGCCACTCGGTTTAGGTCTAAATGGTTTACCATTAGGAATACAGGTATCTTTTATTTTATAAAACTTATACTTTATAGAATAATATGAATAATGAATATCTAATAATATCCAATTATTTAATAATATAGGTGGTTGCCGGAATGAATCAAGATCGGTTGTGTGTAGCTGTTGCAAAACACTTGGAAACACAATTTGGCGGATGGAAACCTCCTTTTACAACAAGTACTGCGATAAATTAAAAATATATTTGAGAATTTTTGATCATATAAGTTTTATTTTTTGGTTTGAGGAAATATTTTTATATAATGTTATACTTAAGTTAGAAAAAAAGCTACTTTTGGTTACCAATAAATTGTGATATTTATGTGGAATAATTGGTATGTTGTGATGATTTTATATTACTATGTTTATCGTTGTAATATTATATTTTTTTTATATCGTAAACATTGTATACATTCCAAACACTAAATGTTGGACTTTTTTTGTAATAATATTAATAATTTTAACTTTTGTTACTTGTACAATATAATGAACAGTAAAACCTCGATTTATAGACGATATCCAACCACTAAAAACTCCACAATGCATAAGTTTTTAATTTATTTACAGTAAAAAATATGTATATTTTAATCTCTTATTAGTGGTTGCCTTTGTGTGGCAAATTTATTCTCAAATAATTTTTCTTTATTTGTATAGAGGTTTCACTGTTAATATATATTTTTTCTAACATGGGCCAAGGCTATTACTACAATACTGAATATCTTATTATATTATTTTACATAACCATACAAATGTTATCTTAATCTCAATTCTTTTCAACTTGTCTGGTTATCTTAAACCTATAATACTATTTGTATTACCACTTGTATAAATACAATACATTAAATTACTTTTTACAAGGTATTTAAAGACTGTTATCAAACTTAATATATGTTATGCGATGCAATGATATTATTTAGTATTAAAAGCAATATTATGTTGTTCAAAATTAAAACTATGTTTTCCTCTTTTAATCAGTAATTCATGAATTAAAAATAAATCCACAACGAAACTAGATTTTTCATTTTGTAAAATATACATACCTAATTTTTAAAAAGCTTAATCTCAACTACAACCATTTAGTAGAACATTGGTTGTACATTTATATTGTTTGAAAAAAAATCCAAGTATAAAATAATTAAAATATAATTTAATCATCTTAAAATTGTAATTAAAAAACAAATATAGGTATTGATATAATTGTAACAATATTATTCCTGTTACAAATGTAGAAGATATTGAGCATGATCATTATTTGGACATTAATATGTATGAACTTATCATCAAGTATAAAATATGTAAGTAGTAATTTGATATAATGTGTAAGTTATTCCATAAATGTATAAAAACACAATTAACAATAACTCTTATATGAAATCATAACATTATTAAAATATGTCGATAAGATTAAAACGTCTGTTAAATGCTTAATATTAATAATTAATAAGTATATATATGTATACTATATACTTAATATATATAATATTAAAAAAACATTTTTTTTTTGTATTTAATGGAATTGAGTCTTCAAAGGTTTTTAAAATTATCCATTAGAAAAAAATGTATAAACCATATCTTTTGGTAAATTGAGAGCTTAGACTAAGACAGGCCTGTCGTTGAAGCGATCAATGAACTCCAAAAGCCAAAGTTTCAAGCAACATACAACTGTACAAACCAACAAATGAGCCATTCAGATACTTTTATTTTAAATGATAAATCAAATTAACCAATATTAGTTGAATTTGAACCATACTATTTATTGTTGATCGTTAAGACAGCCAGGATTTGTTTGATTAAGATTTTTCGTTGCATTGGTAACAAGATGAGCATTGCCAAAAGCATTGTGTAATGCAATCTAGGGTTTTATCCGCAAAACTATATTCTAAATTATAAAAATGAAAATGAAAACCAAACAAGAGGAGTGATTGAAAATATATAAGATTTACTCACGTCTACTCTTCTTCCGTTCTTGTGGGTCAATAGGGTTATAAATTGAAGTCTCCGATACTAAACCATAATAAGTAATAATATATTACTTCCATAAATAATTTATTGTTATTAAAATTACTAAGGATATAACATACGGGTTTTTTGACGTCCAAAAATTTTCCTTTTAAATGTTGTAGGTGTGTCATTGTCATGATTCTCTTCTGATTCAAATTTTTCAAATTTATTATTAGTAATATCCATAAAAAATGTAGTTAAACTTGCACCTCAACAAATATAAACCTTTCTTTAAAATGTGTATAAAGAACTGAACTAAAAGCATTGGTGTAACATATTATAAGTGGCACAACCACAGCGGAATCAAATAGAGCGTTAAAAGCCATAGTAAAACAACAGTTAGTTTTCTACCATAAGGTTTCACTGACCCATTTAATAAGTTGTACAGTCACGTTTCACTAAGCTTGTGTACCCAATTTTTTATTATAATTTCAAAAAAATGATTTTTGGTAAGTATATTCTCTGAAGTACATTGCATCTTGGTAACATTTCAATTTATTTTTATTTCTAAATATATACAATATTAATCATAATAAAAATATCATGAATGTTTCAATTTAAAAAAAAAATTAATTGAAAAATATAATAAATTAAATGTTATGACATATAATAGTGAATAGTGAATAATTTATAAATCATGAATAATCTGTCTCAGTCTTATATTTGTTCAAAGGTTTTCAGGTGTGATAAATTTGGTATTGACTAATGTTATTAATTTTTCCACTTCATATTCTGAAAAAAAAATAATTTGTAACTTGTATTTTTCATAACATAATTTGTAACTTGTATTTTTCATAACATATAATTTGATACATTATATGCACATTAATTATAAGTATGTTTTTATAAATTTAATAAAATCTATATGATACAAGTCTCAGGACAAAATAAAATATTCATTACAAATATACTTTCCATATTACTGGATACTAGATAGTGGATAAGAAAGAAATATTTAGTACTATTCGACAACAAAAACATTTTTAAATGAATAATTACCATATTTGTTTAAAAATTGTGTGAAAAAATGTATAAACAAATATGATATAAAATATTCAACATAAGAAGCGAACCGGGAGGCAACTGGTTTTTTTTCGGGGCTACACAACTGATTCCCCTACCATTAGTAAACAACTTGTAGCCAATAAAAAGAATGATGCCATACCCTGGTTGGTTCTTATGTTGAATAGGGCAAAACATTAATAATAATGAGTAATAAAAAAAAAAAAAACATCGTAAGGGTGTGATTAGTTATTTTAAATAAATATGTGAATTGTTGAATTGTATTAAACACAAATGACAAATTCCAAGCAAAACATGACAGTGTACATGAAAAAAACAGTTAATATTTATTACTTACTGGACTCTTTAAAATTACATCAGCATAATAATAGCTTTCAGATTGTTTTTGTAAAGTCGTCTTGTATACTAATAATCCCCTACGGTCTTTTTTTAACGCAAAGTCCTAAAACAATAAATAAATAATAAATTACAAGCTCCTTTATAATTAATTCATTGTGAATAATAATAACTATACATCAATTATTATATGGTGACAATTGAATTTCTTAGCCAATTCTAAACGTTCATCTGAATCTTTTATCATTTTTATGTAACGGGTTAATGAAGATGACGGAGCACCATTATTGTGTAATAGTTTAACAGTTTCACCAATAGGTAATGACAAAGCCAATTTATCCTTTCCAAGCCAATTCTAAAAATATAAATAATAATATGTACTTCTATATTAATAATTTGGTTAAAATAAACAAAAAATGTAAAGTAAAAGATGTCATAATGATTAATTCAAACATCAGATACACAAATTTCACCAAGAGCATAATAATGGGTAGAATATCAAAATATTTAAAATTTAAAATAATGAAGTTCAGTCCACTATTTAGTTTTAAATTGATAATTCACATTTTAATTGATTTATTATGTACAACTATAGAACTAACACTCATCATCAGAAGTTGAAGTTATTATATATTGAAACATAACAAATGAAATTACTTTGTTTAACAACATGTCATCCACAAGAATCCAATTTTGTAGTTGACAAAATGTCATCAATAATGTAGCTTCCAACTGTTTAGCACTCAGATTAAATTCGTTAGCCAACACACGACAAGATTGAACATTTTGTTGCTCCTTACATTTGTCAGTTACTAACGAAACAACTGACACAAACTGTCCACTCTTTCCTGAAACATAATTTAATTTCTATTAAAAAAAATAAAAAATGAAAAATTGTTCCCTGGTAAATATTTAATTACCAACTAAATGAATAAGTTGTGATATAATTTGCTTATCATATTGTTCGTCTGATAGATTAGCACATACATTGAATCTCTGCAAACAGTTGTGTGGATTTCGACATCCAAATTTGAATAGCATCATCTAAATAAATAAAATATATACGAATTATAATCTATTTGATATTTTAAATAGGTAAAAGTTTAATGGCATATTATTTGTTCTGTTCATATTGTATTTTGCATGTCATGTAAGACATAAGTTGAATACTATTGATATGGTAGTTATAAATTAAAATTAAACTATACAAAATGTTGAAAAAACATCTACAGAAGAGTTATTAAAATACTTTTTTTAAACATGGCCAAGTCTATAATATACCTTGTAATTGTATTGTAATACTATATTAAAATAATAAGTTGTTTCACATGTATTCAAAGTAAGATTAAGAAAAAAAAATTTGCTTTTCAAAAATTGTAAAGGTAAATAAAATACAGGAAAACAAATTTATGTTGACAAATTCTTAATAGAAAAATATATACCATCATAATATAAAATAATATAAACTAATGAAATATTAAACCTACTAAAAAAATATAACTATATTTTTATGATACTCAATATTCAAAACTACTAAAATAATATTTTTCTAAATAAATAGCTTTAATTTCAAAAAATTTGTTTTTTAATACATTTCTAAGGAACTTTTAACCTTTTATGCATCGCACTTTAAAATCTTTTTTCATATACAGGCTCTCGAAAAGACATATGTTTATTGGCTATTCATCCTAAATAATTGTATCTTACCATTGCATCTTTTGTTCGTCCCAACATTCTATAAAAAATATATTTTACTGTATTATAATTTTGTTTAAATGTTTAGCATACATATACATACTCTAAAGTGTCAACTAATTCATCAATATATTGTTTGGAATACAGATATTGAACATAATGAGAAGCGGCAATAGGATTATCGCGTAATATACGCTGGAAAATACCTTTCTTCAAAGTGTTAGTTAAAAATATAACAACCTGAAATAGCACATAATTTATAAAAATAATTATACAATTAATATAAGTTGAAATTATATACAGTTAGAATTGCATTTCCATCTTCCGTATCCAAAGCTTCTTTTAACAACATTGTTTTTTCTACTAAGCTGTGATATGGTTCTAAGGTATATGTTTGAGACCTCACAATACTTTCTATTGTAGATTTAATGCAATTCAGTTTTTTCTATAAAAAAAATTAAGTATAAAATTGTATGTAAATAATAATATTCAAACAATTTTAATTACTTGAGTTGAATTTATTTTATTTGACTTTGAATCTTGCTTTATAAATACTGTAGAGAATAATAATAATTAATACACTTACAAAATATGAATTAGAAATAAATACCTACTTACTTTTATCTAAAATTTCTTTTGAGAGTAGTGTATCCAATGATTCAACATTTTCTAATTTAGCTTTTGTTGATCCAATTTGTAAACCTAATGTATTATTTTTTTATTACTATATAGACACAGTTTAAACCAACAATAAATCAAATAATAAAAGTATATATTATTTTATTATTATATATTTTATGATTACCTTCACTTTCGGGTCGTATTTTCTGGACTAAATTTAATTCCTTTTCCTAAATAAAAATAATTTTCCAGTAATTAGGTTACTTATTAAAAAGACATAAATACAATTGTTCGTCACTTTCAATAAATATTTAACTGATTAAACACATTTATTATTTAAAATATATATAATTCTAAAAGGTAGTGACTAGGTTAGTATATTCTTGTGTTCAAATTTAAGTATAATCAATATTGTGTTGTTACTTATTAAGTTTAAAATAAGAGAAGATTTTTGAATTGACTTACTATCAAAGATTAAGGCAAGAATATTAACTGAGTGCCACGTAGGCTTTTATTAATTTTTAAGTGTTAAGATTGTAATATCATACTAAGTGATGTGTTATAACTTATATTTAAATTCAAAACTTTAAAATAAATTTCTATAAGATGCACAAGATGAATTTACTTTAAATTTGATAATAGGTCAATTAACTTTAAACCTAAAAAATTATAATAGACATAACTAATAATCTAACATAAAAATTAGTTTTTCTAAACGCAAATTTGTTATGATATACATATTTTGTAAGATGGAGATGATGTTAGGATTTGGGGTCCTCTTAATAATAGTTAATAACTTTGAATGCTATACTAAATAAATGATGCATTAATAGGTACCTCATCTTCAAAGCTAAATCCTTCAAAACTTTTTTCATTCCAATATTCATCATCTGTGGAGTTCATTGTAATAACAAATCTCAAGACTAAGAGATAATATCCAAACAATTCAAAAATAAATCAAATAACACAATGTGGATGAACATACCCACTTATGAAATATGTAAGTGGAAAAAAGTAGCTCCCTAACTAAAACACATATCAAAGACACTTGTATAGTTAAGCCTACAACGTTTCCAGTTAACAATAGACATCTGTTAATAAATAATAACAAGCAAATAAAATAAGAGTTTACTGGTGGCCACTGTTCACCCTAACTATTCAAATGAAAAATTAATAAGAAGCTTCGATACAGGAAACGACAGTAACAGTAACAAAACGAAGTGCACGTAAAAAATAAAAATATATAATAATAAGAGGAAAAATTAACAAAGTCAAAACGCGAACAGAATGATCGTCAACGATGCGTGTTGGGCGTTTTTTTATTTGTCGTTGTCGCCGCACCAGAGTCGAAAGAATAATCTCTCTACTTGAGTCACTACTATATAGAAGGCGCTTGTAATATAGAAGAGTGAAGAACAGTACAACACTACAACCGCATTACTGTCTACTGTCTAGACACTCAGGCCCGGCACGTTGGGTTTTGTTTTTGCAAAAAAAGTTTGATAAGAAACAAGTGCCGCCGGTAACGGTAACGGCGCACGGAATACCGAATACGGTCATAAGGATACCGTAGATTCCGTATTTCCGTGCCGAACGCAGCTGATACGAGAAGAGTTCTCTCGGCGCGTGTGTAGAACGGTGCGTGTGCGCGTTCGTGTACGTGTGCGCGTGTGGACACACGGGGCCGACAACAACACTGTATATAGTGTGTAATATTAATATGTGTATTGGGTACGCTATATATCATACACCGAGTGTCCACGCGCTCACGTTTTCTCCGACCCCCCTCCCAAAAGACTGCGGCCGCGACTCACCCCGTCCGCAAATGTCGCGTGCGTGTGCGTGAGTGCGTGTGCACGCTCGTGGCGCACCGACCCGCGCGCGCGTGTGCGTGTGTGAATATTTTGCCATTCTTCTCGCCAACTATCGTGTACACTATAATATATATATGTACACAGTGCTTGCGTATTACCGCCGCCGCCGCCGCCGTCGCCATCGTCGTCGCCGTGCCAGCCAGCCGCCCGAGTACTGCCCGAGCCCGACAATCGTCTCGTGAATTCGGGCAAGTGCACACGCGTGTCTCTCACTCGTAGTCCGGGCCCCGTGTCTCGCCGTCGACCCGCCCCCCCCGAAATTCCGTCAAAAATTCGCGATCCACGACAATCGTAACATTTCACGGCGGGGCTCCAACCGCAGACGTCGAATTCGCGAACCCGCGTCCCACGAAATATAGGTACGCCAAATATCTACCCCCGGTCCCATAGTACACTTGCGTCTTGCACTCACACTATCTGCCCGCCAACAATATTAATATAATATTCATACCCGCTCCGGCTACCTACCCACTGCACAGGTATATTATAATAATAATTGTACTACAGAATTATTCTATATCATTTTATTAGTGGTGATCTCAAATTATGCCCCTCAAGCACGTATGTTATAACTTATATTGTTTCAAGCCCGCAGTGAAAAGGGAAAATACTCGTGACTTGATAATTTTTTTTTTGTAGTCCGTCGATTTTAATTCAGTAATACGCAATAACATTATTACCATGATTTATTTTTATTTATAATAATATATAATAGGTATTTACTAATTTTTCATAAACAGTACAATATGATATAATATGCCTAGTACAAAAAAATATCTCGAATCGTTTTTCTGTGTTGTGACGGTTTTTTTTATGGTTAAAGTTGTTGACTATTTTCATAAATTCATAATATAATATATTGTGTAAACCCACGTTTCGCAATATTAGCAAGCGGTGCACGCATAAACGAACTCGAATATATTTTACCATACAATATTGTATTATTATTTATTATATATATATTATATTTTACCTGTAATGTTGTTTTTCTACGCACTCGAGTTACCCGAAAAAAGGAGTAATTTGAAAAAGGGGTTTTACAAAATGATGTTCTAAAAATATTAAATACATCAATAGCATTACAGCAGAAAGTATTGTTATAAAATATTCGAGCTTTTGTGTAGTATCTATATTATATTGTTATATGACTTATACTAGTTCATGTTTTAATAAACTAACTAAGACTTACACTGTATGTCTGTATTTGATTTTATAAAAGACTTACCTATTTTAGAATGACACCCACAATGCAATGTTTTGACGACCAATCAATGCAAATGCCACCTGCTTCAGTTCTATACAATAATATATTTTTTCAAGAAAACCACCACCAGCTGACATCCGCCTCCGATAGAACGAACCCAAGGCCTGGTAAGTTCATAATATGTCTGTACTATAACGTCAATTTTTCTTTATTTAACTAAGTTAGAGGGATTTTCTTTTATGTAACAGGTTGCGTATTTTAAGTGTAAATTTAATATATTATTTTTATTATTATTATTTTCGAATTCATTGGTCAGCCTTTATTTCAATAGTGATATCTCTATCAAATTAAACTTTTTGTCTTTAAACTATATTTAAATAGGTATACGTCACGAAAGTAATGCAAATGCTGAATGATTAAAAAATGTAGGTGATAGGTATATAATATTGCTAGCAAATTAGGACTGAAATATGGTCCTCATCATAACCTTGATTACAAATATTTAATCTTAATTTTTAACAAATGTATGATAGTAACAAATTATAGCCAATTTTGTTTTCAATTTTTAGTTGTTTTTCTTTGTGTTTAAGATATATATAGGTATACAATTTAAGATATTCATATACCTAATCAATAACTTTATATAATACTTATATGACTGTATCCAATTAACCGTAAAGTATATGACGTAAACAAATGCACTTACAAATATTAAAATATTAATTATAATTTATTTTTATAATATTTGCAAGTCAATAACGTGAACTTGCATTGATTATGAATTATGGTATACGCGTATTATACGGAGTGATATATTTAACGCAAGACACTCTTTATTTCAAAAAACACTAATTTTTTGAAAATTTTCTTTCTAGGTACATAATTTTAACTGATTACAAAACATTTATAGGAAAAAATAAAAAATTTTATCTTTTTATATTTGTTTAATTTTTACTCTTTTAAATGACATAATTTCATAATATTGTTTATTAACAACTTAAAATTAAGCAAAAAAAATATTTTCAAAAACAATATTAATATATTATACATTAAATAGATCACTCGTGGGTGTAATTATATACAGAATGACTCACCAAGCATTTTGATCCCATTTATGCATTATAATGAATGTCCTATGAATATTGTGGTACCAACTTTGTTTTTCAAACCATATTTTCTTGTAAATTGTATGAATGAATCTATTTAATTACATTTTCAAACTTTGGGAGGAACAACTAACATTTTTATGAATAAAACTATGTAAACCTACCTAATACTATAATATGTCCCATAATTTACAAATTAATGTGATTGACGAAAATTCAGACGCTTAAAAAAAAATGCAAATAAAAATTGTATCATATATAAGTAAATCCAAAATAAACCAACAAATTCGAAAATTTAAAATATCTATAAATTGCATAAAAAAGCAGACAAAATATGTTGAAACTTGTATACTGACTACTTGTCTACGTCTAGTAAATGCAAATGCTAAATATAAATACATATTAGGTGACAATTTCAAGTCTGATGATATATCGTTATCTACTATCAGTTTATTGATTACCTGTCACTAGCAGTCGGATGAAACTATGAGAATGAGAGCACAGGTTTCTTTACTATACGAGTACTATAGATTCGGAACTTTGATAAAACGAGTATAAAATAAATGATGTTTGTCCACCATATGTTTCGGGTTGGAAAAATTTCCATCATGTACCTCTACATAAAAAATGCAAATTATTTGACCATTTAGGTATAATAATATACTAAAATACCGAGAATACTTAAATACATTTTATCTAGATGGGTACATGATGTATTCGTGTAAATTGTACAGTATAAAAAGATTCATTTTATGACACTATAATACTACTCATATAGTTCCTTATCTAGATATCTAGTGTTTGCTGTAAATAGAATAGGTATATATAGACCATATAAGTCTGACGATATTATGGAAAAAATATTTATTGCTTGACTTGTTTATGTAATTTAAATGTTTTTACTTTTTTTTACTAGAACAATTTTATGAATAAACTCATGATAATAGTAGGATATTAAGTAATATATTGCCTGGTTCACGATAAACCGATAAACAAACATTGGGTATGCATATATTTTATGCGATAGTCAATGGACATTTATCTTCATAGGTACATTTTATATTTAAATTCAAGTCTTATTGTGTGGCGTGCTCACATTCGCCTTTTAGAGGTTTAATATAGGCAATGTTCACGAAAAACAATTTTAAATTTTAAATATATTGAAGTACTAATTATTATTTAAAGTAACTTATAAAGTATAAAATATTCATTAGTCAGTATTCAGTAGGGTATCATAATATTTTATCGTTGTGTGATTATAAAATTATTGAGAAAAATGGTTTTGCGCGGGAAAGAACTATAGTCTACAATATTATGGATAAGAAACCACGGTTATCTACTAGATAGATATCTACTACTAAATATCTTACTAGTAGATAACCGTGTAAGAAACCAAATTGTAAACATAAAAATAACCTTTTTCTAGAATGTAATTTTTATATTAATTTTTAATTACCTAATACAACACTAATAGATTTCAAAACAATAATAACCTCGATATTAAATTTCTTCGTTTTAGAAATGTCGAAAAAAAATGATATAACACGGTAAAAATTCGTTTATTTTTAAAAATTGCTTTCAACTTTTTAACTATTGTCTAATAGCCCACTCGGGGTTCACTCCTGGTTTTTAATAAAATATGTATAAACGTTAAAGTACAAAATACATTTTAACTTTTTATGTTGACTTCACCATAAAGACATAAACACTTGTTATAGCTATACGAATATATTGGAACATATATTTATAACTAAAAATTTTGGTTAAAATTATCTGAATAGATTTTAAAATATTATACGAATTTAATAATTTAGTTAGTAAATCAATTTATATCAGAATTGTGAATTGATTCAAGATTCTTTCAGATTTTAACAATACATTTATAATTTGTTATGTTATTTAAGTTGTTCTTAACGTTTAACAATTATTCATTAATGTTATTAATAAATAATATAATATACATTCATCAATTCTTGTAAATCTTTACTTGGACCATACCTCTTTCGTAATAGATAAATAAAGAACAAAAATAAGTTGAATGTATTTTTTTGAACAGTTAAATAATATTAAGCTGATTAAAGTTTATATTTTATTGATACACTACTTTGACGACTATTTAGTACCTACCCATTACACGGCTTCCAGCAATCACACGATAAAATGTTTAATGTTTCCTTTCGTCCGATTTACGCAGAAGCAGATATCCAACATTTAAAAACTCTATTACGATTTACATTAATTGATACACATATAATGTAAATATTTAATAATATTAATACGTGATTTAAAAAAAAAATATTTTAAGTATGAATAAGGACACGTCGAAAATGTTTGGGAATTAACCCCTCCAAAAGTATGATACCCATGTTTAATAAATAATAGGTTCAAATTTCTACACAGAACAATTTTATTATTACCAGTTAAATAAATAGTATAGTTAGTATAAACAATTGTCAATAACATGCATAGCAATTTACAAAGAGTGCATATCATCAGTACTCAGTAAGCACTATTATGCTGTATATTTTAATAACAATAATAACCAATTTATATTATGTTTTTTGTATATAACAAAAATACAAAATCTGTAAACAAATGAACTACACATCTTTCTCATACAAATGTAATAGACCAATGCATTTGATTACATATTACTGGGACAACACTACACCAGTATGAGCTCTGGGTTTTCAAAATGTCATGAGGTGCTTACGTATTAATATATTATATTATGCATTGCTTCATTAATTTCCTCACCTCATGGAATGGGCCATGGGGTGTTTGAGCACTGCAGCACCCCAATACTCAGCGCCCGTACATAGTAGTATATCCGGAGACCGGGGTTGTAACCCTTCACTAAATTATATTAAAAAATGCATTAATAATCGAAAATATAAACCAATAACTATTGAAGAACAAAATTATCGATTAGTGCTGTGTGTCTATTTAAGATCTTTGATAATCATTGCTAAATGCTAGCTGTTACGTTGAGAAAAATAATTTTCTAGATAATGAAAAGTTTCGGGTAATGTCAATGTCAATGTCATATTCTCTGTTGGCCGTTTGTTTTTTTCTGCATGTAATCGATTTATATGAATCTGAATGCATACGGGTAACAAAATCGGACGATACCATAATATTATTAGGTCACGGAATCACGTCATTAAATGTGATTATTTACTACACGTGTTATATTTATATTAATGATCGGACGTCGAAAATTCCAAAATGTATTTTTAGTGCATTTTCGGTGGTGTTAATCACAACGGGCTATTCAATAAGTAATAAAATGGTATAAAACCTTCTACAATAGATAGGGTTTTCTACTTATCTGTGTGCACTGTGTACCGCAATAATAAATACCTTTTTTTATTTTATGATTAAATTATGTTTATCCAAAATGTTATCCACGAAATACGAACCAGTGAAGACGTGAGTAGGTATAGAGTTCTACAACTTGTACTGTTGTCAGTTAACAGTTACTTACTAATTTACTACTAAGTCTTACTAAATATTATGTTCTTGTTAAAGTAGAAACATAACTTTACACTTTTCTGTCCATCCAAAAAAAATAGAATGATGTTTACCAAGGTTAACATTTATTTATTAATTTAACTATAAATTCATCGAATATTTTTAGTGAACCTTAACAATATTTTAGTAGTTGAGGTTGATTATATTTTTCTAATTTACTTTAAAGACTGAGTTCGATTTCATTGAAGTATATATGTTAAACATGTGTTCAGTTTTGAATCGATAAACAAAATAGTTTATATTTAGACTTCTAAGTACCTACTACCTAGTATAATAGTATAGGTAGGACCTCTATAGTATGAAACAACTCTACATTTTTTTTTTTAATTTAACACAAATATTTTTTTTTAATTTAAATTAAAAACAAAAATTCTTTAATTTTAAAAACGAAGTAGTTACTACTTAAATTACAATTTTATCTTTAAATTTCCTTTGTTTGCAGTTTTGGGGATTGATAAATTTAATTTAATTTAATAAATTGAACCTATTGTTTTACTTGTATCAATTGAATCATACTGATCAAATAT